TATCAAGAAGTGTATGCATCCAGAAGTCAGAGGGTTCATACTGCAGCTTTATACATTCATTGTAAGGCCTCCCTAGATTATGACAGCTCAGTTCTGTGTCTCAGTATTACAAAATGGAACATAAATTCGTTAGAAAACTTTCTATGCGTAGGATGACTATAATTAATACATAGAATAGACATATCTTCCTTAGAGAAGAAAGATTGAAGACTCTTAAGTTACATTCACTTGTTAGACGTAAGAATGAGGTGGGATGAGACCTGAGCGAAGTGGTATAAGTGGAAGGATAGGTTATAAATAAATGGGATATTAATAAGGTCATTGAGGATGTCTCTCCTCAAGAGAAGGTGATAACGCCGCAGTAATGGATTTAAATGAGGTTAAGTTTAGATTTAGAAGGCATAGGAAAGTATTGGTTTGGAAATAGGTAGGGGTGATGAGTGGAACACTCTACATAGTTGGGTTATGAGGCTGGGACTTTGGGTAGTTTCAAATCTAGGTTGGATAAGGTACTTGGTGGGATGAGGGGTTGGATTTGAAGTGGGACTTTCTCATCAGAGCTTTTTCTTGGGTGGATTGAAAATTGGGTTGGGCAAATGTTTTGTTGGGTATGCGAATTGTAAAGGACCTGCTAGTATCGGGCCACGGCAGGACTCCGCAGTGTTCCTCCTTTTCTTATGTCTTATGTTTATTATATATATTTATTATTTATATATATATTTATAAATATTTTATTTATATTTATAATGTTATAATTTTATTTATTTTTTATTGAGATTGTTTGTTTTTTGTTGTTGTCCGTTTTATATATATTTTGTGCTGCGAGTGTTATATTGTGAGTGAAGTTTTCTTTATTGTGGTTAGTGTTTCGATTTTTATTTTGTAGTGTTATTTTTATATAAGTTTTTTTTGTTTTTTTATTTTGTATGTGATTTTTATATTATATATATATATATATATATATATATATATATAAATTTATATATTAATTTAATATATATATATTTATATATAACATATATTTATTTATATATTAATTAGTATATATATATATACATATATTATTATATTTATTTGATATATATATATATATATATATATATATATATATTTATTATAATATACATATATTATATATATAGTTATATATTAGATATATATTATCTATATATAATATACATATATATATATAGTATATATAGTATTTATATATATATATATATATATATATACTGTATTATATATATTTAATTATATATTATATATCTATATTTATATAATATATATTTTTATATATATATATATATTATTTATAATATTTATAATATATTAATATATTAATTTATATATATATATATATATTATATATATATATATATATATATATTATATTACTTTATATATATATATTATTATATATATATATATAATATATATATATATATAGAATATTTATATATATATATATAGTTCTTTCTTTCTTTCTTTCAACACACGGCCGTTTCCACCGAGGGCGTGGGTTGGCCCAAAAGGAAAAAACGAAAGTTTTCTCCTTTTAATGTAGTAATATATAAAGGAGAAGAGAGGTTACTAGTCCTTGCTCCGGCATTTTAGTTCGCCTCTTACAACACGCATGGCTTACGGAGGAAGAATTTCTGTTCACTTCCCATGGAGGTAGAGGAAATAAACAAGAACAAGAACTAGAAGGAAATAGAAGATAACCCAATAGGGTGTGTATATATATGCTTGTACATGTATGTGTAGTGTGACCTAAGTGTAAGTAGAAGTAGCAAGGCATACCTGAATCTTGCATGTGTATGAGACAGATAAAAAATACACCAGCATCTTCACCATGTGTATAAAACAATTACAGGCTTCAGTCTTACACTCACTTGGAAGGTTCGTAGTACCTCCATGAGGCGGTTGCTGTCTACCATCCTACTACCTGGTGCACTTGGTGGTTAACGCTCATCGCTTCACACGGAGAGGGCATGGCGTTCGATTCCCAAGCCAGAGTTGAAAATTGGACGTGTTTCTTTCCACCTGTTAGTCTTATATTCCCCATCTGTAAAATGGGTACCTGGGTGTTAGTCGACTGGTGTGGGTCGCATCCTGGGACTCTGACCTAAGGAAGGCTCTGGTCAAAGACCGGGGCGCGGGGGCGTTGAACCCCCGGAACTCTCTCCAGAAACCCAGAATATACTAGTATATATATATATATATATTACTAATGTATATATATATATGATTTATATATTATTTACTATAATATTTATATTTATATAATATATGCAATAAAATCACAAGGTAACAGGTGAGATTTCGAATAATGCAGAACATCCACTCTGAAAAAATGAGAAATTCCAATTCTGCTTTCGTGCTACTCACATGTGAGTAGTCACGAAAGCGCTTTGGAATTTCTCTATTTTTTCAGAGTGGTTGTTTTTGCGCATATATTATATATAATATATATATATATATATATATATATATATATTTATATATGTATATATATATATATATATTATACGAAAAAGATCCATAAAAGTCAATAAAATAAAACATTGTGCAGATAGTGTAGTAAAGTAGACACAAGGCAACAAATGGTGCTGAATGAGGACTTGTCCTCTGGATTGGTTTTTGATCGTAATCATTCTTTTTCTTCTTCCAATTGGTCTGTTCTTCGTTAGCTCTGCATCCATTTTTTTATATTAACCTTCTATGTTTTGTTTATTCCAGACGAGTTGGGAGGTGGAAAGATACTATATGGAAATAACACCGCCATTGATAAATTAAAATTTACCATTCTTTACTTGTCTGTCTAAGTAGTGGTGTAAGCATCTGTATAAGTCTGCCCAAAATGCCCTGGCATGTTAGTGGTTTTCTTTGTGTCTAACAACGTTATAAAATATACAGCAGACCGTCATTTAACACGGTAGTTACGTTCCTAAAAACACCAAGTTAGGCAAAACTGTGTTAGATGAACTGAAGAACTTATGGGAAAAGTAGGGTTACATTCATGAGAGCCCCCCCCCCCCCCCCCCCACCCAACACCGAACAACTTTTTTTAGGCCTCCACATCTTACAAAAATAAAAGTGAATATGTGATTGTAGTTCATTGTTGTGATGTATTACGTTGTTTTTACTGCTCAATACTACAAATGTAACAGAAATAATATTTCTTACCTTAAATTGTGGGTGCTGGTGTTTGTGGACGACTGTGAAGAGAGTGGAGAGTTATGTTGTGGTCCTACTGGGCTGAGGTGGATGGTAGAGGTTCTGGTACTGAAGTTGATGGTTGTACTGCAGTGTCTAACTTTAAGTTATTCAGTAAGTCAATCAAGTTATTCAGTAAGTCAATCAAGTTATTCAATAAGTCAATCAAGTCATTCAGTAAGTCAATCAAGTCATTCAGTAAGTCAATCAAGTCATTCAGTAAGTAAAGTCAAGGTCAAGGTCAAGGTCAAGGTCAAGGTCAAGGTCAAGGTCAAGGTCAGGTCAAGTCAAGTCAAGTCAAGTCAAGTCAAGTCAAGTCAAGTCAAGTCAAGTCAAGTCAAGTCAAGTCAAGTCAAGTCAAGTCAAGTCAAGTCAAGTCAAGTCAAGTCAAGTCAAAGTCAAGTCAAGTCAAGTCAAGTCAAGTCAAGTCAAGTCAGTCAAGTCAAGTCAAGTCAAGTCAAGTCAAGTCAAGTCAAGTCAAGTCAAGTCAAGTCAAAAGTCAAGTCAAAAGTCAAGTCAAGTCAAAAGTCAAGTCAAGTCAATTCAAGTCAAGTCAAGTCAAGTCAAGTCAAGTCAAGTCAAGTCAAGTCAAGTCAAGTCAAGTCAAGTCAAGTCAAGTCAAGTCAGTCGGTCAGCCGGCCAGTCAGCCAGCCAGCCAGCCAGCCAGCCAGCCAGCCAGTTCAGCCAGCCAGCCAGCCAGCCAGTCAGCCAGTCAGCCAGTCAGTCAGCCAGTCAGTCAGTCAGTCAGCCAGCCACACAAACTTATGTTTACCTCTTTTTATGTGTACTAAGTAACACTTCATTATGGCCACAGGTTATGTCTTGTCTAATATCTTTGTTTCCTTCGTTAATTCTAAGACTTAAAGCTTCTTTCAACACACCGGCCGTATCCCACCAAGGCAGGGTGGCCCAAAAAGAAAAACGAAAGTTTCTCTTTTAAATTTAGTAATTTATACGGAAGAAGGGGTTACTAGCCCCTTGCTCCCGGCATTTTAGTTGCCTCTTACAACACGCATGGCTTACTGAGGAAGAATTCTGTTCCACTTTCCCATGGAGATAAGACTTAAATGCTTACACCTTTTCTTGCCACTTTGAGCAACACTGGTATGCCTACTGGGTGTCGTGATTGCTTGGCAGATACAAGATATAGCAATTAAAGGATCAAAACACAATTCACAATCACAAGCTTGTAGCAGAGAAGTTGGACTGGACATGTATGAAGTATGAATGCTGGGATGGTGGGGTGGTGTCAGGGGGTGGCTGGGGACGGCAGGAGGTCTCCCCTGCTTAACCACAACAAGGCGGCCGCTTGAGGAAAAGGGAAGTTTTTTTTTCTTTCCCACAAACTGAACCGTGTTAAATTCATTATATGACATGTTACATAAAATTGTGCCGCAATTCTTCAATCATGCTATACTCAAATCGTGTCAAATAAACTCGTGCTAAATGACAGTCTACTGTAACTCACATTGTAACCTTTGCAACAATATAAATTGTTTTATTTTGTGTTTGTACTAACTGTAAATTTCTCTAATTCAGTAACTCCCATTTCCTTCAATTGTCTTATTTTTCAGATAAGCAGACAAACACCTCAACTGTCACAGTGAAACATGACTTGATAAACCTCTACACAGTGAAACATGATAAATCTGTACAGTGAAACATGACTTGATAAAGCCCTGCAGTGTGTCAAGCAAGACTTGCTAAAGCTCTACTAACGATACTAGATTAATATTGAGTACTAATGGGTACTGAGCACAAAGTGAGTACAGGGTAGTACTCACCTGACAACATCGCTGTCATAAGAATCATCAGAAAATGCCTCGTCAATGCTTGAAGTGGGCGAGTGGGCGCTCGAGGTTGGTGAGTGGGTGCTTGAGGTGGGCGAGTGGGTGCTAGAGGTTGGTGAGTGGGTGCTGGGGGTTGGTGAGTGGGTGCTGGTGGGCAAGTGGATGGCAGTCCTCTTGGGCGGCAGCAGGAGAGCCGCCGCTGCCGCCGCTCCTCGTGTAGATTGGGTGGTACAGTCATCGTTGTCATCCACGGTGGTGTATGAGTGGTCTTCGCTGGGCGATGAACTGATGACCATCATACAGTCGTCACTCACCTGCACAAGAGATTACCAGTTAGTCACAAGTCATAAATATGGGTGTTGCATACGAATGCAGGAACACTGCAGCAGGCCTACTGGCCCATACTAGCAAGTCCTCAAAACCAACTTTTTCCACCAACTTGTCTAACTTTTTCCCAAAGTTACACAAGAATTTGTTTCAATATCTCAGATACTAATCAAACCCAACTCTTCTAACTCATATATATTTGTCTAATCTCTTTTTAAAGCTACCCAAGGTCTTAGCCTGTGTTACCCTATCTGGAAGATTGTTCCATGTATCAACAACTCTGAAAACCAGTACTTACCTACATCCTTTCTAAATCTAAATTTGTCCTTTTTTGTTCGATATTCTCAGTACTTTATTTATATCACCCTTTTTTTATGCCTATCATTCACTTACATACTTCAATGATATATCTCCTTACTCTACGTCTCTCCAGAGAGTAAAGATTCAAAGATCTAAGTCTATCATCATATGGGAGATTCTTTATACAGTGAATCATTTTAGCCATTCTTCTCTGTATGTTCTCCAATGAATCTATATCCATCCTGTAGTAAGGAGACCAGAACTGAGCATCATAATCTAAGTGAGGTCCTCACTAATGATGTACTGTTAGTTGTATTTCTTGTATAAATCCCTAGAACAGTGGGAAAGCCGGTTTTCATCCGGTCCGGATATCGTATAATTCGGATTTCAAACCACTTTTTTTTGGCGAATTTTTACCCTGGGTTTCATAAAATCGCTCGGAAAATCGTCCATATCAGAACACGTCCGCCTGCCTAGGCCGCCGCAGCTCACACGTACCCGACTCAGTTTACCTCTATCTCTTGTTCAGTGAACAATACTCTGTGTGTTCTCTGAAACATTGGTGGTAGAAGGTGGTAGTGATGGTGGTAGAGGGTGGTGTTATGGTGGCAGAGGGTGGTAGTGATAGTGATAGCGGTGGTAGTGATGGTGGTAGAGGGTGGTAGTGATAGTGGTAGTGGGTGGTAGTAATGGTGGCAGAGGGTGGTTAGTGATAGTGATAGATGGTGGTAGTGATGGTGGTAGAGGGTGGGAGTGATGGTGGTAAAGGGTGGTAGTGATAGTGGTAGAGGGTGGGTAGTGATGGTGGTAGAGGGTGGTAGTGATGGCAACCAATTGAAGATGTTGAGAAGTTGTTTTTTGGTGTGGATCAACAAAAAAACAGATAGTGTTGCAAAAGGCAATAATTTGAAAAAAAGACCGGAAGTAGCATGTAGATCTGGTAAAGAATATCCAACAAGACTCTTCAATAAAGGTAAAAGTGATTTAAATGTTCTTTTTTCCATTAAAATTAGTTTTTATTTATTTCTTCTTGTTTTATGTATGTTAAAACTATAGTTATTCTCTATAAAAAGTATTTTTTGTTAAAATTTTTTGGGTTGTCTGGAGCGGAGTAATTGGGTTTACATTATTTTTTATTGGAAATATTACTTCGGTTTTCGTCCATTTTGGATTTCGACCGACCTTCTGGAACAGATTAAGGACGAAACCTGGGTTCCCCCTGTAATCTGTTATCCTTATGCGCACACTTAAAGGGACTCTTATCTTGGCTTTATTTCTAACTTACCATGACTCCAGTATTTTTCACATTCTGTATGATCCAGGTCTAACACATTGGTATGATCCAGGTCTACATCACTTGTATGATCCCGTTTCTACTTCACCTGTATGATCCAGGTCTACATCACTTGTATGATCCAGGTCTACATCACTTGTATGATCCAGGTCTACATCACTTGTAGATCCAGTTCTACTTCCCCCTGTATGATCCAGGTCTACATCACTTGTATGATCCAGGTCTACATCATTGTATGATCCAGTTCTACTTCACCCGTATGATCCAGGTCTCAAACACTTTTTGATCCAGGTCTACATCACTTGTTTTGATCAGGTCTACATCCTTGTATGATCAGTTCTACTTCACCTGTATGATCCAGGTCTACATCACTTGCATGATCCCGGTCACATCACTTGTATGATCCAGGTCTACATCACTTGTATGATCCAGTTCTACTTCACCTGTATGATCCAGGTCTACATCACTTGATGATCCAGGTCTACATCACTTGTATGATCCAGGTCACATCACTTGTATGATCCAGGTCTACATCACTTGCATGATCCAGGTCTACATCACTTGTATGATCCAGGTCTACATCACTTGTATGATCCAGTTCTACTTCACCTGTATGATCCAGGTCTTTCATCACTTGTTTGATCCAGGTCTACATCACTTGTATGATCCAGGTCTACATCACTTGTATGATCCAGGTCTACATCACTTGTATTTATCCAGTTCTACTTCACCTGTATGGTCCAGGTCTACATCATTGGTATGATCCAGGTCTACATCACTTGTATGATCCAGGTCTACATCACTTGTATGATCCAGTTCTACTTCACCTGTATGGTCCAGGTCTACATCACTTGTATGATCTAGTTCTACTTCACCTGTATGATCCAGGTCTACATCACTTGTATGATCAGGTCTACATCACCTGTTTGATCCAGGTCTATATCACCTGTATGATCCAGGTCTACATCACCTGTATGATCCCGGTCTACATTTACCTGTATGATCCAGGTCTACATCATTTATATGATCCAGGTCTACTCATTTGTATGATCCAGGTCTACATCCCCTTGTATGATCCAGGTCTACATCACTTGCATGATCCAGGTCTACATCACTTGTATGACCAGGTCTACATCACTTGTATGATCCAGGTCTACATCATTGTATGATCCAGGTCTACATTTACTTGTATGATCCAGGTCTACATCACCTGTATGATCCAGGTCTACATCACCTGTATGATCCATGTCTACATCATTTGTATGATCCAGGTCTACATCACTTGTATGATCCAGGTCTACATCACTTGTATGATCCAGGTCTACATCACTTGTATGATCCAGGTCTACATCACTTGTATGATCCAGGTCTACATCACTTGTATGATCCATGTCTACATCATTTGTATGATCCAGGTCTACATCACTTGTATTTATCCAGGTCTACATCACTTGTATGATCCAGGTCTACATCACTTGTATGATCCAGGTCTACATCACTTGTATAATCCAGTTCTACTTCACTTGTATGATCCAGGTCTAAATCATTGGTATGATCCAGGTCTACATCATTGGTATGATCCAGGTCTACATCACTTGTATGATCCAGGTCTACATCACTTGTATGATCTAGGTCTACATCACTTGTATGATCCAGTATGATCCAGGTCTACATCATTTGTATGATCCAGGTCTACATCATTTGTATGATCCAGGTCTACATCACTTGTATGATCCATGTCTACATCATTTGTATGATCCAGGTCTACATCATTTGTATGATCCATGTCTACATCATTTGTATGATCCATGTCTACATCATTTGTATGATCCAGGTCTACATCATTTGTATGATCCATGTCTACATCACTTGTATGATCCAGTTCTACTTCACTTGTATGATCCAGGTCTACATCACTTGTATGATCCAGGTCTACATCACTTGTATGATCCAGGTCTACATCACTTGTATGATCCAGGTCTACATCACTTGTATGATCCAGGTCCCACATCACTTGTATGATCCAGGTCTACATCACTTGTATGATTTCCCGGTCTAAATCATTGGTATGATCCAGGGCTACATCACTTGTATGATCCAGGTCTACATCACTTGTATGATCCAGGTCTACATCACTTGTATGATCCGGTCTCATCCTTGTATGATCCAGGTCTACATCACTTGTATGATCAGGTCTAAAATCATTGGTATGATCCAGGTCTACATCACTTGTATGATCCAGGTCTACATCACTTGTATGATCCAGGTCTACATCACTTGTATGATCCAGTTCTACTTCACCTGTATGGTCCAGGTCTACATCATTGGTATGATCCAGGTCTACATCACTTGTATGATCCAGGTCTACATCACTTGTATGATCCAGTTCTACTTCACCTGTATGGTCCAGGTCTACATCACTTGTATGATCCAGTTCTACTTCACCTGTATGATCCAGGTCTACATCACTTGTATGATCCAGGTCTACATCACCTGTATGATCCAGGTCTATATCACCTGTATGATCCAGGTCTACATCACCTGTATGATCCAGGTCTACATCACCTGTATGATCCAGGTCTACATCATTTATATGATCCAGGTCTACATCATTTGTATGATCCAGGTCTACATCACTTGTATGATCCAGGTCTACATCACTTGCATGATCCAGGTCTACATCACTTGTATGATCCAGGTCTACATCACTTGTATGATCCAGGTCTACATCACTTGTATGATCCATGTCTACATCATTTGTAAAGGTCCAGGTCTACATCACTTGTATGATCCAGGTCTACATCACTTGTATGATGTCTACATCACTTGTATGATCCAGGTCTACATCACTTGTATGATCCAGGTCTATATCACTTTATGATCCATTCTACATCATTTGTATGATCCAGGTCTACACATTATATCCATGTCCTACATCACTTGTTATACCAGTCTACACACTTTTATGATCAGGTCTACATCACTTGTTAATCAGTTCTACTTCACCCTTTTTTGATCCAGTCTAAATCTTGGTAGATCCAGGTCTACATCATTGGTAAGATCCCGGTCTACATCACTTGTATGATCCAGGTCTACATCACTTGTATGATCTTGTCTACATCCTTGTTATCCAGTTGATCCGTCTACATCATTTGTATATCCGGTCTACATCTTTTGTATGATCGGTCTACACACTTGTATGATCCATGTCTACATCATTTGTATGATCCCGGTCTACATCATTTGTATGATCCATGTCTACATCATTTGTATGATCCATGTCTACATCATTTGTATGATCCAGGTCTACATCATTTGTATGATCCATGTCTACATCACTTGTATGATCCAGTTCTACTTCACTTGTATGATCCAGGTCTACATCACTTGTAT